CAAATGTAAAATCTAATTTAATAAGGCATTTTTTAAAAAAATGTATTTTTAGGTATTAATCAATCATTGAAAGGACATTGATTTTGAAAACAAGGAAATTTATTATAATAATTTGTAAAAAAAATATGAAATTTTATTATTCGTATATTAATATAAACACAAAATTAATATTAGAAGAAGAAAAAATAAATTCTAAATTATATAATAAGGTGAAATATTGTGTAAAAATGATAAGAATAAGGAAGAAAAAGTGAGTATAACGAAGATCTGTGGAGAGAAGACTGCCATTGAAACCTTGATAATTCGCTTTAAGGATAGCTATAGCCAGTTTCTGTTTGAGAAAGAAGCCTTTTCACCGATCGCCAGTATGCTTGCGAACGTGAGATCCTAAATTCTTGAAGAAGGATAAAAGCATGCATACCAAAAAAAGTTATTAATGGGGATAAAGATGTTATCTTCATATATTTTAGAATATTTGGAAATTTTATGTTGTTCTTTTTGCTCAAGTAGGTTTGGAGTTTGGTTGGATATAACCAATAGATCTATATAAGAATAGTCCCAAACCAGAAATTTGCCCCGATTCCATGGGATTCTGGTGATTCCGTTAGTCCGCTTTCCATCGAATCTAAAAAGTCCTGGTGATTCAAGTATAGCGAAGGTATTCGGGGGATTTGAATGCTTGCTGGATCAAATTGCATTGGGTACCCTTGCGGATTGTCATATCCTTATATAATTAAATCCCTATATAAATTAGTCATTACTGATTTTATTTAATATTCAAAATTGAAAAATAGTATAAATATATTATGACATACAGCTATATCTAAAATTTAAAGAAATTAAATTGAAATTTCGAAAACTTTAATGAAAATATGGCATTTTATCAAAAACGTTGTCCAAATTTATTTTAATTTTTATGAATTGAAATTATTAAAAAAAATATTCTTTTATAAAAAGAATTTTTTTTTTTATAATCTATTCATTTTAAATTTTTGATTATTTATAATCGCTAAATGAAAAAAAGAATGATAACTTCTTATTTAATAATATTCTTATTAGCAACATTATCTATTCCCAAAGGTAACTATTATTTAAAATATATAAAAGTGAAGCTCTCTAAACTAAACTAATCAACATTTTTTGCAAAAGTGTATGGAATTTCTGTTTTCTGTAAGAAAAAAATATAATGAATAAAAAAATAATTAATTGAAACTAACTCTGAGTCTGAATGTCTATTGGTCAATCCACTTATCAAGATGGGTTATTTTAAAATGCAGAAAACAAATATTTTGAAATCTACGTAAAAATCATTAGAACTTTTTAACAGAGCTTATTTAAAAATAAAAACTAACTATTTTGATCTAAGAATTGATAGGTTAAAAAAAAATATAGAGCCTTTAAGCCTAAAATCGTTTACCTAATACAAGAATTTATTATGCCACATCTTACAAATAAAATAGAAAAACAAAATTCAAAATTATAATATCCATTTTATAAAAATAAATTTTCCCGCTTTATTTTGTCGCAAAAATTTTGAACAACTATCTCTAAATTTATATATGCAGGAATTAATTGAATTGCGCTGATACGTGAGTCTCACAGAGTATCAGTAATTTTTGGAAACATTAAGATGAGCAATCAAGAGAATATTCCTTAACGGTTTAATTAGATGAAGCCTTTGAAGGATAAAATCAGAAAATCAGTTGTGGCATTTGGATTTAGATTTGCATGAATTATTGATTGAACTCCTTTTCCCTATTCTGGAATATTAGCGTTATGATGACTATAGCGTCGGATGAGACCTTTTTTTTCTATATAAACTTTGAAAGTCTTAAGGTTTTTATTTTTAAAAATCTTTCTTTCACTCAAAATTGCTCTCCTTTTTATGTCGAAATAAAAGCAGTAATTAAATGAGGTTTTCAAAATAATCTAATAAATAATATAAAGGATAGATATAAATGAAAATTACACAATAAAGGATTCGACATAGAAACATCTCCATATACTTATTTTAATTTAAAAAAGAAATTAATATCGATTTTCGCTTTCGCTGCTCAGGCCTAATTAATGTAAACCGTGAGAAGTCTTTGTTTGTATCTGTTGATATGATCCTACCTGTCCCAATGATAAAAGAAAAATTTCGGCCCTATTAAGAGTCAATGTAAGAAATTAAGCCCTGCCGGCCATCATTCAAAAAAATAGACTACATGTTTTGCATATAAACTAATTTGTGATCATCTATATAAATTTGTTAAAGTTATGAAAAAAAAACCAAACAAAATTCTCATTAAGAGACCGCTGAGTATGCGAGGCCTAAAAGGAAAATATCAATAAAAATTTAATACTATTTGATAATATTGAATAATATCTCATTGTTATTCCACTTATTTACTTTTATGCTATAAATAAAAATTATACTTTTTTTAATTATATTAATTTTTTGAAAAATTTTGGGAAAGGATCTACACAAATTTAAAAAATAACGTTCAAAAAGCTCATATAAACCTCTGACAACTACCCTTAATAACTTTAAAATCTAATTTTATCATAGTTTAAACATATTTATTGTTCAAATAAAGAATACTTTTATATAGAAGAGGGTTCAATTTTTTATATAAGATAGTTATTGAACAATTAAATTTCTATTATTTTTTATTTTTGATAAATTGCAGAATTTAAAAAAAGTTACTTTAAAATAAATCATATGTTGTGTTATCTGGAATTGAATGGGAGTTTTTTTTTCCGTGAGATTTTTCATCTATGTGGGATTTAGATTTAAAAAAAAATATAATCCAAAAAAGGCCTTCAAAAAAAACGAGCCTATAATAAGTTCAATATGTAACTTAATCGTCTATTTAAAAATGATTTTTTTTGTAACTAACCCTTCAATATTCCGGTGAAAAATAATAATTTAAATGTTCAATTAGTATGATAAATCCAAATTTCTAATGAATATATTTTCATTTTTATAATTAAATAAATGTTAGACGCCCATATTGCTTAAATTTCGCGCTTTATCTCTTCAGTTTTAATCACTATCCCTTCATCCATGCAGACTGGAGCTCATATTCAGTGGTCCCTATTCACGCCTTTATTTTCCCCAACCCACAGTATAACTTTATTTGTCTAGTTTAATCTGCTTCATATTTGACAAATTTCTCGTTATTTATTTGCTCATCTTTTTATCAATTATTTTTTTCTATCTGGTGGATACATTTCACTTTAGCTTTAGATTTATTCATTTCTGCATTGATTCATTTTTTTAAATATTTATTTACGTCTTGCTTTACATCAAAAATTTATAAAAATGCCATGGTATTTATATGGTGTTATTAAAATTTTACAAGTGATCCGATATTGAAAATATGATAGCGAATTATTAATATAGTTATACATTTTGGTTAAAAAATTAACCATTTAGGAGAAAACCTTATGGCTCACAAAAACCTCGCAAGTATAGATCAAACATTATAGCTATTTTCAATTGCAGACAGACTAATTTTTAACATATATATAATTTAACACATTTCAAAAAAAGTAGCTTGAAAGGTAACTAGTTTAAGTTATTTTTCCCAAAAAAATATAATTAGATATATGTAAATCTTTGCTTTTAACAAAACTAGGTATAATTTACATTCCTATTATTATTATGGAGTGTATATATAATTCTTAAGTAAAGGCACACACATGAATTTTGATGAGAATATCAGAATTCCAAAATCAAAAAGAATTTTTTAACTCTGCTTTTCGTCTAAAAATATTTTGAAGAGTTTAAAGTCACATTTTAAAATGATCTAAATAGTTTTACAAAAAATAAAAGTAATTTGCCAACAAACATAGTTTTATAATTTCCCAAAAAGATGGTGAAAGAAGGAAAGAGAGATACCCCACAGAATTTGAGTTGATTGATAGGTATCAACTTTATTTTTTTTGATATTTTACTACATTTAAAATTAGTTATTGAAGCGCGTTTTTTAAATTTAAAAATCTTATTTTATACCGGTAATGTATTGCAATGTATGTTAGAATATTTACCCTATAAATTTTGAAGAAAATTTTAATTTATATTACTATGAATCAGATTTTGGTCAAAGGTTCCTTATAAATCTTTTCTAAATGCTAAATGATAAGGTCTTCATTCAACACATATATGGAATACTCTCAAAAAAAATGATTATAAAACAACATCCATCTAACTATCGAGCCACTAAAATAAATTCGGGCCGGGCCGGGTGGACAAATTATTCTTTTTTCGGGTCGGGTATTTCAAAACAAATAAAATAACCTGTTTTGGATTGGGACATACATTTAAAAAAATATATATATTCACGCTTATTGATATGAATATTTATGAGATAGGAATCGAATTTTTTATTAATTCAGACCCAGCCAGGCTTTAAAGATCCCTAATTTCTATATTTTCCTCTACATATGTTTTTAGATTTATTTACAAAAATTTTAAAAAAATATATAATAATAGTGAATATTATTGTAAAGAAGAATGAAAATATAAACCTTTTTTAAATTTAATTAAAATCTAACTTAATAAATTTTGGATTATCAATTATTTTGAGATGAAAACAAAGAACGAAAATATTTTTTTCGAGGTTACTTTAACTAAGATAATGTCAGAATTATTTTAATTGCAATGTATATGTTTTAAATCTTATTTATATAAATTTTCTAATTTTATATAATAATCTAAATCGAAAAATAAACCATATAAATATAATATGACATAAAAGCAATGTCCAAAATAATAAAAAATAAGATTAAAAAATTTCGATATCTTCAATGAAAAAATATGTCATTTTATTTTTTTATCTAATATCAAAAACATGTTTTAATATTTATTTTTGATTTTATGAAAGTTTAAATTATTAATAAAATTTACAAAAATAAAATTTTTTAAAAAATAAATAATTCAAAGATAATATTTTAATATATAATATATACCAAATTCTTATATAATATATTCATTTTAAATTTTTGGGATTATTATCATTGCAAATCGAATAATGCTCGCTTTTTATTTAATAATATTCTTATTAGTAACATTATCTATTCACAAAGGTAATTATTATGCTTTATAAACAAAACTTATTAACATTGTTGAAAAATATTAATATGTAGTTCAGATTCCTACATGGGCATGGAATTTCTGGGTTCTGTTTGAAAAAAGATAAAAATAATTTAAAAATAACTTGTAACTATCTCTGAAAGTCTATTGGTCAACGAAAGATTTCCTTTATTAAATCGGTTGTTTTAAAAACGATATTATTTTGACCTAAGAAAAATTATTTTTAATAATTTTCTTTAAGACTACAGTGTAGCTATTAGCTCATTTCAATGAATTTTCACAATAATATCCTAATTGTTTAAGCAAACCTTATATAAGAGATAAAAATTGTATCTACATCTAGATAAATTTTAAGAAGGTGTATCTGTATCTAGGTTCATTTTTAATGTCTCCTCTTACTAACTTAAAATCATAATTATTATAATATCTTTTTTATAAAAATAAATTTTCCTGCTTTATTTTGTGACAAAATCTTGGACAGCTTTTACTAAATTTAGTCGCTCTAGGAGGCATCGATTAGTTGAATTGCTTTAATACGTTTAGTTCCACAGATTATCATTAACTTCCTGCAATATTAAGAAAGGAATCAAGACAATTAGGATCCATGGATTTCGAAAAATGCTTAATGGATTAAGTGAGTCAAGCATTTGTAGGATAAAACTAGAAAATCTGTGCTTGCATTTAGATTTAGGTTTGATATGAATTATTAAACTCTAAATTCCATTTTCCATTCTTGGCATATTAGCGCTATTACCGTAGCATATGATTAGCTTATTTTCTATTATTACTTTGAAGTCTGGAATTTTTTTGTTTATCTTTCGTTTTCACTCAACACTACTCTCGTGTTTGTCGAAATTAAGCAGTAATTAAGGTATTAATAAAATCTATTGATATAAATGTAAATTTTAGTTTTAAAATGTTATTACAAGATTGGTCGAGAAGCAACAGTGATTAATTTAAAAACAAAAAATTAATATCAATTTTTTCCGCTTGTTGCTTTTGGGACAGGTGTAATTGATGTTAGCCGTGAGAATATGCTTATATTTTGGTCGTCCAGCCCCAAAAGGTACATTTTTTTTTGCATATAAAACTAATTTGTGACCACCACGTTATACAAATTTGTTAAATTGTTTTATAGTTGTTTATAGAAGAAATAATAAGTAAATCATATAAACTTTCAAATTTTTTTAATTTTTTTATGAACCACGGAGCATTCCAGTGAATACGGTACTCTGGGACAAAAATAAAAAGTCAAACGAAATTCTTAGATGACTAAGTAGAGCATTGATAAACTGTATTGATTAATTATAATCAATCAAAATTTTATTATAAAATATTTCTTTTTTAAAAAATAATTTTTTTAAAAACATTTATATATAAATATACTTAAAATCAATTTTTTATTTAATTAAAATGGAAAAAAATATATATATATATTTACTAGCTTATTACCAACTCAAATTTTAATTTTCAATTTTTAAAAATTAAACAAATTTATATCCATAAGATGGCGTTAAATACATAAATACGAAAATATCTATTTATGAAACCCGGGAATAATTATTATTTTTTTAAAATTTAAATATAAAAGGACACGAATTTACTCAAATACAAAAAAAAAACCGCTAATAATACAAACACAATTTTTGGAATCAACTAAATATATTTTATTATAGGTGAAGCCGATCCTTGGCTCAGAGATCCTCACTACGATATGCACTAATACATTATTAATCATGGTAAAACTCATAATTAAATTAATTAATAAAAAAAAATCATTTTCTAGGATTTGAAAGTTTTTGCGCCGATAAATGCCCAAATTCACTATATCCACGTTGCGCCGATTGCTCTCCTGATTCGAATCATGAGAATACCGAATTTATTAAAAAAATTAATATTATAATGTAACTTAAACATTATTTTTCATATTAAATGTATTTCGCCTTTTACTATATTATATTTAATATTAAGGTTTCATAATTATGCATTTTATTTAATTATTATTTAAAATTATTGAAGTCTAAATAAAAAAAGTGTGAATAAGGAGACATTCTTGCAAGCTATTTTAAATGTTTAATTTTTTGGGGGAAAATTTTTTTCTCACAAACAGAAAAATAAAACATTAATGGGGTGGGGGAAATTTTTTTAAAATAAATTAATTTGAGAACTAATAGTGTATATAAGAAATGGAATCAAAGATATCAATTTCCAGTAAAAAAAGGGCAAAATATATCATATTTTTATATATTCTATGACATTGTGGCAGATTTAAATGTCTGTGTCATGTATGTCCAATACATATATAGCTTATGCTTTGGTATTTCCAGAAATGTCCCATAAGTAATTCTTGCGACATTGTTTTTTCCATGCCTGCAAGAATCACAATTTTGCATTTTAATAGCATTGACATTGAAGTATTTTATTTTAAACCTAACCTTAGGCCATGATATAAATCAAGGGTTTATGGTCAGTAAATGATTGTAAATTTCCCTATCAGATATTCTTGAAATCTCTTGATGGCTATTAAGGCTAAAGCGTCTCTCACAATTGTAGTTTATCTCTGTCAATAACGTTCTTGGTGTAATAGGCTTTTCCTTTCCATCCCCTTTTATGTGAAAAAGTATTGCTCCAAGTCCGCCTTTGGATGCATCAGCAGCTATACCTATATAGGTGTATGTTGGGATTAAAATAATTTAACGTAGGAAGTTGACTGATTAATTATCTTAATTTCATTGAAATTTTTAGCATGTTCAGTTTTAATTTACATTTTACTTTGACTATTTTGTGTAGTGAGTCTGCAAAATTATTTAAAAATTTTCTGTAGTTACTTGCCATTCCTAAAAATGTAGAAAATTCAGCATAAGATCTTGACTCTGGTATGTTGATTATAGCTTTAATTTTATCTTGATGAGGGTGTATACCTTCCGCGTCTATGTCTGGTATACATGAATAGGCTTTTTGCAAAATTTGATGTGAGATCATATTTCGATATTATTTCAAATACTTTTTTTAATGTTTTATCTCTATATTTCATCATTCTCACCCGTTATTAAAATATCGTCAATATAAAATATTATAACCTTCATATCTCCAAATATTTGGTCCATGGACTGTTGAAATATTGCAGAAGCAGTTTTGAGACCATAGTCTGGTTAGAAGTATATATGGTCAGGATGTTCCTAGAGTTTTTGTCTAAAGAATAAGCAAAAATGCGCCCTTGAAGCCGATTTTGGTGAATTTATTTCCTTTTGATAGTTTTTCTATTAAGCCGACTCTTCTTGGTATCAGGTATTTAAAATCTTTTAGTGCAAGATTAACTTTGTCTTTAAAGTCGCAAACAACCTGAGACTCCCTTCTTCCTTAAACACTGGACTTAACGGATTCGCCCAACGTACGTCTTTTATGGGCTCAATTATTTTGTCCTGAATCCATCTGTTTAGTTCTACTAACTATGTCTATTCTAGAGCATGGTACTCTTCTTAGTGGTTTAAACGAAGTATAATGTTAGTTTTGCTGATAGGTTTTTTTCATTTCTTATAAGTTTACTTAATTTATCATTATAACCTATGTTTCCTACAAATTTTTTTAAAATATCCTTGACAACATTTAGCCAAATTCTGCTAAGTAACGGACTCTTTATGCTATTGATAACGATAGCTTGCAAATTTTTAGTTATTCCTTCTTAATTTAAATTGATTTGCGTTGTACCTAATATTTTAATTTGTATGCCGTCATAACATGTTACCTTTAAATTCGATCTCTTGACCCCAGTAACGCCTGAATTTGCTATCTAACTGGGTATTATGGTAAATCTCTATTCCTTACCTGCATGATTGTTGTAAAATTGTTCAATTTCAAAATTACCTTATATGCGTTGTTATCTTTTCCATTGAAATTATTCTTATATTTAGTAAGTCAAAATCTTTTTTTTTCTTACCTTATAACATTTAGTTTCATCAACCTCTTCGATGTTAACTGTGTTAATCATATTGTCATATTCCATCTGATTTCTAGTATGGTTATTTCGGTTGTTAGTTGTGATGTTATCTATTATCATATAGTTGATTAGTATTTTGTCTGTACTCTCTATTCGTTGTGAATCATTAATATTGTTTAATCTATATTGTTGCATGTTATTATTGAACCTTTGATTATACCTGTCGAAATTTCTATTCCATTGTGAAACCTCTTAATGAATTGTCTGTAATTGTTGTTAAATTTTCTATTATCGCTCTATTGAATAAATCTGTGATTTATTACTTTCATATCGTGGGTAATTTCTTTGAAAAATGTTGGCATAAGGTATGTAGTAGTATCGTATTTTTATCCTCTCAACTATTTTGTCTTAAATCTTTAATTTTAAATTTAAGGTCTTTAGACAAGGTACATATTTATTACTTTAATTGTATTCCTTGCTTAACTGGCAAAGTTTAGTCACCCATTCTATAATTTTCTCATTCTTAGATTGACTCGCGTTATAGAATTCTAAAAATTTACGTTCACATTCTTTTGAGGATACATCTATGTTTTTTTTAAAATTATTTTATGTATTTTTCTACAAGTGAGTTTTTCTTTCCTTAAATTTACAGATCCTTTTTCTAAAATTTTAAGTTTTTCGTTCAAAAATTATTATTATTTTATTTTTTAATTTAACGATAACCTTTAAAAGATTTAAAAAAAAATTCCTGTTTATCTTTATATTTATTAATTTTGTTTATTTATATATATTATTTTTATACCATGACCTTTGAAGGTTGAGTAAGAAAAACATCTGATGGCAATATTATTATCTTAAATATTAATTAACTTGACCTTTAGGGTAAATCCTTAATTTGGGACTTCAACATGCCTCTTCATTTTCAAAAAATTTAAATTCTACCTGGTTGATATAGCCGATAAAAAAAAATACAATTAAATATTCCAAATTAACAAATTATATATATATATTTTTTTTTACTAATTGATATCTCTTCCATCAAGCGGGGCTTTAGAAATTTTTAAAAACTAAAGGCGAGAAAATAAAAGTTACATTAGAATTTAAAGAATATTACTTTTTTAAACAAAATTTTCAAATTAGAATTTTGAAAATTCAATCGAATATTTAGTAAGTGGTCAGTTTTAAGCTCGGAAATAGGTCAAATCAAAATATTTTTAAATTATTTTTTTAAGATAATGCTTAAGACATAAATATAAGCATGGAAAAAAAATGAAGAGATTTCTATCAATATAGCCTGCAATATGTGCCTTGATTTCTATTATTTTTAAATTCAAAACCTATTCATAAATTAAATGTCAAAGAAACCTATCATATTTTTAAATTTTTAAGACTTTCCACATTTATTTATCTTTCATTTTCCTAAATGATATTTCATATTAAATTCCATTAATATTAACTAAAATTAGAATTATATATTATTTCATATTTAATCCCATTTTTTTTTATTTGATTAAAAAAATTGATTCAAGTATATTTTAAAAAAATGTATTTCTGAAAATTATTTTTTAAAAAATGAAATTATATAATAAAAATTTTAATTTATGATAAATGGCTTTTTTTGACAATGTAGTATTTATCATGCATGTACACTAAATTCTCATTAAACACTACTTTTAGAAATCTTCTAAATTTATATCTTATTATAGGAGAATCCGATCCGATCAAAGATCTGTATTATTATCAGAACGAATCCATTTGAAATCATAGTAATTATAATTAAATTAAAAATAATAAAATCTTCTTTTTTTTCTAGGATTTGAATATTTTTGTGCCAATGGATGTCCAAATCCCCAATATTCACGTTGTGCTGATTGCTCTTCTTAGTCAAAGCAATAATCAAAAGAATACCTGATTATATAAATCATACCTCCCCCTTCTCCTATTTCTGATATGATTTTCAAAATGCTTACTTCCTTTATTTTTACAACATGCCCTGTTATGATGTTATATCAATTTATGAAATGCATAATCTTTCTATCAATTCAAAATTTCATAGAATTTCAATTTCTCTCTTTCTTTCTTAATAATATAATATAACTTACAAATTTTTTTTCATTCTAAATGTAATTCGCTTTTTGCGATATCGTTTTATATTAAAATTCATAATTATGCATTTAATTTATATTAATTAATATTAATAAAGTCTAAATGAAAAAAGTGTGAAAAGGACCAAGGATGCCATATTCCATAAAAATAAAACATTAATAGGTAGGGGGGAGGTAATGTGCCTGGAGATTTTTAAAAAAAATAATAAATTTGAAACTATATTAATAGGGGAATAAGAAATGGAATCCCAGATATCACTTTTCCTTAAGAAAATATAAGGTGTAAAATATATCATATAATTTTCATATATTCAATGCCAGTATGGCAGATATATATATGCATACAATTAAATGTGCTTATTTATAAATTGTCACTTAGGAAGAACTATAATATTTAATTTTGGTGAAATAACTTGAGAATAAGAAGGTTTTAAAAAAAAAATTATTATTATACAACTAAACTGCAAATGCCAAGATAAACTGCAAATGCCAAGATAAACTGCAAATGCCAAGGTAAACTGCAAATGCTTAGGTAAAAAAATTTTGTTATATTCTCTCTTAATTGGAGCGAGGATCATTTTATTATTCAATAAATAACTTATAAAAAATTGTATTCTTAGATATATTCAATAATAAATGAATTAGTTTGTATTTCCTTCTATCTCATAATGATGAGTTTAAATCCTTTAGTAAAAGTAAATTAAAAATAATTATAATTACTGTGGTATTATGTAAATTTAATATTGTACGAAATTTAACATTTTTATATTTGAATAATAATAGTTTAATTTTATATGTTTATTCTTCGAAAAATTAGTAATATTTGTACTAGACTTTTACATTTTTATATTTAAATGATAATATTTTAATTTTATATTTTTATTTCTTCGAAAAATTTTTATATTTAATATGCAAATAATTATGTATATATATATGATTCAATTTTCAATAAAGTCAGTTAGAGTGGAATTTTATAAAAAAGGAAAAATTTGTTTTACATTAATTATAGTGTCTGAAATTAATTATAGATAGAGAGATTCTAAATATTTCTAAATAGAGAAAGGTAATACGATAATTTAATAAATTGGAATTATTTAAAAGAGTTTACATTATATTATTTTAGGTGTGCTCAAAAGTAAGTGGTTAACAATCTTTATTATTAAAATTAATCCTTTATTTTATTTATATAGATTTAATACACCTTTGATTCCTAATTAGCTCTCCCAATACAACATTAACACCCTGAGTTAAGTTCGGACTTGTAAAAATTACGTTTTAAATTTCATTAATATTAAATCCACAAGTTGGCGTATTATTATTTCACGAAAAAATATTAAATAATAATACGCCAACTGGCGGATTTTATATTTCTTTATTTATGATTCTTTTTATAAGATAATTATATTAATAGATTTAAACTATTTTTTATGAGAATAAAGATAAATACAACTCTTATTGTCTATTCATTTATTATTGATAATATCTAATAATATAATTTTTATAAGTTATTCATATCATAAGAAAATGAACTCAAGCCAATTAATAGAGAATATGTCAAAAAATTTTACCTATGCGCATTTGCAGTTTAGTAAAACATGTGAAACACCTCAAACACCTTTTTAAATAATAATAATATAATATAATTTTAAAATATACTATAACAAAGAAAATTTGTAATTTTATATCTTAAAATAATAATACGCCAACTTGCGGGTATAATATTTATGAAATTTAAAATGTAAATATAATTATTTTTAATTTATTTATATTAAAGGATTTAAACTATTTATTATTAGATAAAAGGAAATACAACTATTAATATCTATTATTCATTTTTTATTGATTATATCTAATAATATAATTTTTATAACTTATACATATCATAAGAAAATGAATCTTACTCCAATTATTAGAATATATATGAAAAATTTTTACCTAAGCAATTGCAGTTTACCTTGGCATTAGCACTTTACTCAAACTCATTATTATATAAATTTATTAATGTGATTGATTTTTCATAATTTCAATTTTAATATAATATCAGACCTAAATAAATATCTTGCAAACTAAAATCTTCATATACATATTGTGATAATTTACTATATATTGTCACAGATATTATATATATTGCATATATAAATTTTAGCCTGATAATAAGATCAATTATTTAAATTAATTATATCTAGCAAACAAATATTATATATATATATAATATATTTTAATTGACAATATAATAAGATTCAAATTAATACAATTTATTAGATATCAACATTTTAGCATATAAATTTTATGATAATAATATCAATATATTTAAAATGAATTATATCTAACAAACAAATATTTATATATATATCTATTTTAATTGACATATGATTCAAATTAATTCATTTTATTGGAAATGAACATTTTAGTTATCAGATTATATTTAGCCTGATAATATAATCAAATGATGTTATATATCTATATACAGAATTAGATAAATTTTGAGTAAATTTATTATTAATAAATATAAACATTAATAAAAAATTAATAAAAGTGTGTATTATATGTAAACAGGATTATAAAAGTTTTCATAATTTTGAAGATTAGTTTCAATGTAGAGTGGTTATTTGTCAAAAAGATTGTTATTTTATTTGTTATAATTGTAAATATATCATAGTTATATATTAAAATCTGAAAAAATATTTTTTTTTCCCATAAGAAGCCTAATAAACCACTTGATTCGACTAGCCCCATCGATGATCCAACTAACCACGGGTTCGGGGCTAACTAGGTTCAAAAACAAACTCTTTTTTATAGGATATAAAAAATGTGGTTAATTTATAAAAAGGATCCAAAATAAACTTTAGTAAAATATCATAAAAAGTTACCTTGAAAAATTTTCTGTTAGTTGGTTCCAATTTTACTATACATAATAGTTGCCTTAATTATAACTTACAAGTTAGTGCTAAGGGCAGAAGGCTGGGTCGTTATCAGCGCCATTCATCAATAAATAAACTTCTCTGTCTATTTCTAAAAAAATGAATTAATATCTTAGAAACCCGTAACCTTTTATCAGATGTTGTGAGGCCTGATGGTCTTAAAACTCTACCATAGGTTCTGGGTAAATTTCTCATCTGCGTTTATACGTGTTACCACTTTCCCCACAAATATCAATTGCACTTACTCTAGCCGAAACAAAAAAAATATAAACAAATACAAAATATTAGATAACTTCAATTTTTTTACTCCAATTGCCATCCATCATTGAACATTTTGCCTCTTACACCTTCCATTTAACAAAACTTTGATCTATAAAATACGAATCCACACATTTGAGGCCGAAGAATTCGTTTTCTTAAGACAAAAAAAATATAAATTATAAATATAATTAACTCGTCTTTTGGGAGACTCAATTATATTTTAAATACCATCCCCTCATTAATTTTGTATTGTAATTTATATCATTTTTTTTATATTGTATATATATATATATATAGGATCCTGCATATCATCCTTTCCTTCTTCAATTAATATAAACCCTCTTACTTGAGGTGAAAATAAAAAAATTAATAAATATTCAAAATTAAATAACTTTATATTTCAGCCAATAGATTCAACTAACGGCAATTTTTCGCAGTCTACAATATATTTTTTTAACAACCTTATCGCGAAAATTTTTTAGCATAACAAGCAAAAATCGCGAATCCTTATTTCTTAAATAAAAACTTAATTATAATTTTTTAAACAACAATTATACTTGTTTTTTCAGGTACATTTTTATTATTAAATTAACTTTTAAGAGCCTTTCGACATCATTATTATTTATTTTAATTTAGTAATTTTATATATTTTTATATTGTTTTAATATTTTAGTGTTTTATCATTTTTTTTTAAGATTAAACCAATATCAATCAAAATATAATTTTAAAAATAAATTTTATAAAAATAAATATTTTTTCTTTATTTTTGTCGCAAAATCTTGGACAGCTTTTTCCAAATTTTGCAATTTCTAGGTGGCTATAGAATTCGTTAAATTGCTACGCTCCCACAGAATATCAGTAACTTCTGCAACATAAAGACGGGTATCAAGAGAATTAGAATACTCCTTCTACCCATAGATTTCAAAAAAAGCCTACAACGGCTTAATTGGGTCAAGTCTTTGAAGGATAAAACCAGAAAAAAAGTATCGGCTTTTGGATTAAGATTTGATATGAATTATTTAACTCCATTTTCTTTCTGGCACATTGTTACCGTACTATGAGATGAGCTTGTTTTCTACATTTACTTTGTAGCCTTTATGTTTTTTATATATTTCGTTCACTCAACACTGCTATCGTATTTGTCGAAAATAAAACAGTTATTAAATGAGGTTTTAATATTCTAATAAATAATAAAAAGGATTGATATAAATGAAAATTTTACTTATCCTAATTAATGTTATTACAAGATTCGTTGAAAAACACAATTTAAGACTCGATATAGAACATACTGATTTTAATTTTATAAAAATGATACCAATTTTTATTGCAGTGCTTTTGGGCCAGGGCCAATTGATGTAAGCCCTAAGACATCTTTGTTTGTATGTGTTGATATTATATTGTGCTACCGGGCCCCTAAGGTAGAAGGAAAATTTCGACCCGATCAATATTCAATGTAAGAATGTAGGAATCGCTGGCCCGCTCTCTAAAAAAAAAAGCCTAAATTTTTTGCGTATAAACTAATTTGTGACCACCTATATAAATATTTTAAAAGTTTTTAGATTTATAATTATATCGTAGGGAAAGCCGATTCATGAATCAGAGATCCTCATATATGATCAAACGAATACATTGGAAATCATGGTAAAAGTTATAATTAAATTAATTTGTAAAACTTTTTCAATAGGATTCGAACAGTTTTGCGCCAATAAATGTCCATATTCAAGATATACACGTTGTGTTGAATGCCCTCGTAATCCAAAGAAATAATCGAAAGAATACCATGATTATATAAACTCTATCACCCACCCCCCCCCCCACCCCTCATTTTTCTGATACGATTTTCAAAATTTACTTATCTGCTTTATTTTTATAACATGCCTTTCCATAAATATCAATTTATGGGCTACGTAATGTTTCTATCGAATCCAAACTTCATTGAATTTATTAACAAATTTATAATATAACTTACACATTTTTCATTTTTAAAAATGTAAATTCGCATTTTACTATATACTATTGTATATTAAAATTAATTCATAATTATGCATTGAATTTTTATTAATTAAAATTTATTAAAATCTGAATGAAAAAAAGTGTGAATAAAGGACCAAGGATACCACATTCTAGCGAGCTATTTTAAATGTTTAATTTTTTTCGCAGCAATTTTTCTCTCAAAAACGTAAAAATAAAACATTATTGAAGTCAGAGGGAGGTGAATGTGCCTAGAAATTTTTATTAAAATAAACTAATTTTAAACTAAATTAATAAGGGTATAAGAAATGGAATCCATATAACTTTTCCGGTATAAAAATATGGGCTAAAATATATCACAGGATTTCATATACTCACTGCCAGTGTGGCAGATATATATACATATACAATTAATATGTGCTTAATTGACTTTTTTTATTGATTTGATATGGAATTCACCATTTATATACCAGCGGAGGGTGAAGTTGTACCCAAACTGTAATTGTTGTCACCAAAATTTAGCATAAATCTTGTTTACTATATTTAGTTTCGTAGAATTGTAGTGGTGATTCATTTAAGTTTTTTTTTTTGGAAATCTCCTTATTCTCAAGTTATTTCAAAAAAAATTAAATATTATATTTCTTCCCGAGGGTCCATTCATAAATAAGCACTTGTATATATATATCTGCCACACTGGCAGTGAATATATGCATATCCTGTGATATATTTTACCTTATTTTTATACAGGAAAAGTTATCTTGGATTCCATTTCTTATTCCCCCTATTAATTTAGTTTAAAATTAATTTATTTTTATAAAAAAATTCTAGGCACATTTTCTCCTCACCCCAATAATGCTTATTTTTAAGTTTGTGAGAGAAAAATTGCTTAGAAAAAAAATTAAGTATTTTAAATAGCTGGCTAGAATGTGTTATCCTTGGTCCCTTATTCACACTTTTTTCATACAGATTTTAATAAATTTTAATTAATAAAAATTCAATGCATAATTATGAATTTTAATATAGAATAATAATATAGTAAAAAGCGAATTTACATTTTTAAAAATGAAAAATGTGTAAGTTATATTATAAATTTGTTAATAAATTCAATGAAGTTTGGATTCGATAGAAACATTTTGTAGCCCATAAATTGATATTTATGGAAAGGCATGTTATAAAAATAAAGCAGATAAGTAAATTTCGAAAATCGTATCAGAAAAATGAGGTGAGAGGGGGGGGGGCGGTGATAGGATTTATATAATCATGGTATTCTTTTGATTTTTCTTTGAATTAGGATGGCATTTAACTTAACGTGGAAATCGTGAATTTGGACATTTATTGTCACAAAATTGTTGAAAATCGTATTAAAACAGTTTTACAAATTAATTTAATTATATAACTTTTAGCATGATATCCAATGTATTCGTTTTGATCATAATTGGGATCTCTAATACATGAATCGACTTTCCCTATGATAAAATTATAAATTTAGATGACTGTAAAAATAATGTTTAATGATGATTTTGTTTGGTGGTTTCTTTTAGCCAGGCAGCATATTCATAGGATTGCTCTTTTATGTCATAAAAATATAAAATAAATTGAATCTTCATATGATATACCTTTTTTCTTTCTAAAAATATAAATCTAAACACTTAAACAAATTTATAGAAATTTTCCTTCTACTATAGAGGCCCGGTAGTATAATAAAATATCAACACATACAAACAAAGACGTCTCAGGGCTGAACTAAGGAAAAAAATGAAATATATCTCCCAACACTGCTTACCCAAAGGATAATTGCAGTTTTCAAATATTTCGAGAAATAATTATGTTATAAAAATAATTTAAATTTTATTATGTAGCTTCCTAGTAGTTCTTTAATATGACATAAAAATGAATATGATAGATATCATTAATATCGAAAACCGGATGTATAAATCCGGAAATAGCCATAGAAAAAAAATCTATTTTTATTTCAAAATTTTTCTCTAGACAGATATCACACTGCTTTACATTTGTACAAAATTCTAGACTATGATGAGCATGGTTTTAGGAGTTATGACTCTTTATATTGCTATAATTGAACAAATTTAACATAAATATCATCATATTTAGGTTAATGAATAGTTATGAAATAATGTTTATTTATTAATTATGTCTAAATGATTAGGCGCTTACTTTTTTTTTATCTTTAACAAAATTTTAAGAAATGGCTGGGACTTTTACCAAGTGCGGTTTTAAAAAATGTCACCCAGCCTTTATCCCAAAATCATTTTCATCAATTGTAGAGAATCATGATTTTTATTTTAATATTGGGTTATTGCCCCATCAGAAAAATAAAATTTTTTATCAACTCTATAAAATCTTTCCTTCAAGAATATGACAGATTTTGTTTGAAGTAAATATAATGCACACATTTAAAAAAAAAACTTAAATATTAAAACCATCTGGCAAAATTTTTATCCGAATAAAATGATTGACTGGTTCACTCCCCTATAAACTGTTTAGGGATTGAAGAGACTCCACGTTTAGGTCGCATAAAATTTTTTAAAGATTCTTCAGGAGTATTCTTTTCCTCGGAGGGATTACTCGTAAAAGTTCTGAGCGAGAGGCAAAAGATCAATATCTATGGTGTTCACGTCCCATGCTACAATTTCGTACTTGTCATCATCTGGTAGTTGTGTTTGGGAAGGATTAGACTCCCCGAGGTATGACTTGTTTTTTTTTAAAAAATAAAGAAATAAAATTTATTTAGAGATTCTCTGTAAATGTAGGCCAGGGGCACTCCGGACAGAAAAACTTATTATTTTGAATATATAAATAATAGATAAATCTGATAGGAGAGAAGGCTAAGGAAACATAACATTTTTTCTCTCATCGAAAACCACTTCCGGCTAAAAAAAAAGTAACCACTCATTGAGTTCGCTCTAGTTGATTAATCGACTCGTTGCAGAAAAGATAATTTTAGGAAAGATTCGCCCCAATCAATTTTTCCCGTTTTTAAAGATAAATAGAGGGGGGGGGGGGAATTGGATCCCAAGATAAGAAACTTCTCGCGCGCCTACTATCATTGGTAGAAATTTTCCACTTCCGCCACCTTTCTCGTTGCGCGATATCGCTGATTTTTTCAGGCGCGATAAATACAAACCACGGTTATAATTGTTAATTGTAAATGAATTTGAACATTTTTTTAAGCTTATAACCGCATATTTAGAGTTCATTTTGTATAAATTAAAACTTTTTAAATTTCAACAGCGAGAATCAGACTATAATTATGTTTTCAATTTATAATTTTTGGTATTGATTTAATTTTTAATCAGGCGATTATTTTACGAAATTTTATAATTTTGTATAAATAGACCCCCCCCCGATTTTCTTTTCTTCGTAATTATAATTTTGTAAAGATTAAATAAATTAATTTTATTAGTTTAAATATTTATTTTTTTTTTTGGTTTATTTTAACAATGAATTTTAATTTAGTAAAAATTTGTGTAAATCTTCGGCATCAAATACTACTAGATATCTGCAAAATTTTTTTAAAAGAAACCGGGCCGTGCTTGAAAAATTAAGCCTGATGCGATCACCAACTACACTTTGAAAAGAGGGAATTAAAAGGTATATTTTAAATATTGACTGGGAGGGGGGGGATAGAAACGAGAACGAAGAAAATTAGAATTTGCATATTATGTGACATATTCTTTGTATGGGACTAAAAAAAAAATTTCTTTGGCATCTTCAGTGATTGTTGTTAGTTTTTTTTTTACCTATGGTTTTTTAGAACCGAGAACGAAGAAAATAGAATTTGCATATCATGTGACATATTCTTTGTATGGGGCTAAAAAAAAATTTCTTTGGCATCTTCAGTGATTGTTGTTAGTTTTTTTTTACCTATGGTTTTTTAGAACCGAGAACGAAGAAAATAGAATTTGCATATTATGTGACATATTCTTTGTATGGGGCTAAAAAAAAATTTCTTTGGCATCTTCAGTGATTGTTGTCAGTTTTATTACCTATGGTTTTTTAGAACCGAGAACGAAGAAAATAGAATTTGCATATCATGTGACATATTCTTTGTATGGGGCTAAAAAAAAATTTCTTTGGCATCTTCAGTGATTGTTGTCAGTTTTTTTACCTATGGTTTTTAAATAAGATCGCTTCTTCGCCCGTGTTCCATAAAGTGTTAGTAAACGAAGAGAGCTATTTCCTATTTTTTCAAATATATGACAAAAATGATTATATACATACTCATCTCTTCTATAAAAATAATGGCGCTATTTGAGATCTTTAAAAACGCAAACCCAATATTTTAGCCATTAAAATAATGACCAAGCTTCGAGATCCCGTTAATTATGCCATATCTAGAAGCAAAATCTTAGGGACAGTTGCGTAATATTTCTGGATAATGTGTTGTGTAATCAGTTTTCAAACTAATGGTTGAAATCAAGCCGTTCAACAATATAACCAGAAAGGGTATTACTAAATATTACCATGTTCTTCACTATCTTGCGTAATTTTCGTGTAAATAATGAGTTATCCATTTTGAAAGAAGGGGGGGGGGGTATGTAATATCCTTCCCTGTGGATATATTTATACTTTATATTGTTTACGAATATAAGGCCATCGCAAAATGAATAATCATTTTAAACCATTATAATATAGAGTATAAAATATGTAAAAGATGTGTTTTATTTCAACTTTAGATTATTTTTTAAGCGAGTTTTTTTTTTAAATTTTAAAAATCTGATTTTACCTGACCGGTTACACGGAAGGGCTTCTCAAATTGTGACTAGTGCTACCAGTTTGCCCCCCCCCCTTCGCGAAGCGAGATGGTGAAGAAACCGTCGTATACGTGAATTATAAAAGTTTAATTACACAATAAATTTGACAACATGGTGTCGGAAATAAGTTAATTTTTTGGGGGGAAAAAAATTGTGTTTATATATATATTGATTGGTATTTACTTTATCAATATAACATATCTATTTACCTTACAAATAGTAATAATATTGGGATAGTTAATTTTTTTTATAAGTAAACATTGAAATTTGTAAAATATTGGGAGATACAGTATAATATTTTTAAAGCATCGGTAATCATATCAATATGGATGTGTTTTGGGGCAGGAGAATGAGAAGGAGTCGCTCCTTAAAAATATAGGGGGCACACTTTAACCACTGAAGGACATAATCATGGAAAGAGATATAAATGTTAAATCTATAATATTAGTTTCGCAAGGTGGCGTATTTATTTTAAAAATAATTTTAATAAATTATCGATTAATTAAAAGATAAAATCAGCTGATTATTTTTAAATAAAAATATTTTTTATAAAGAATTATAATGTTTGGATAACAATAATTATCACAAGAAAAAGAAGCCATCTTTATGATTATTTCTAAATATTTCCATTATAAAAAATGTTTTTTTATATTTTGTTGTATCATATAAAATATTTCTAAATGTTGTTTTTTGTGTTTTTTATTACCAATCCTCATGGAAAGTATAACTTCTTCTTCTCTGTTTAATGGCGATTTCCATTTACCCAGGTTGGCCAGGTTTCCCCCTGATTTAATCATTAGAAATTTTGTATAATTTTTTTTTTACAATTGTATCCTGACATCCAATCTCTTTGGGTGAAAATTTAAATGCAATTAAACTAGGGAATAATTTTCGGTGCCCCTCCATCTTATTATTTTTATCTTGGTTAGCGACTTTATCGGATTCCTAGCGGGAAAAAAACGCAATGATTTTAAGTGTAATCTTATCAAGGTGGGGTTGTGTAAACTAACGTGCTAATCAATGAAATAAATCAGCTTTCTACACAAGTTTAGGCAAAAGAGTTTATTTTTTTTTAAATATTCTAATTTGTCATTTCAATTTCCTGCGAAAATCTTTTTGATCTCTAAGACTGTAAAATAATTATTGCTCTTATTGTTCCTTTTATGTATTTAACAATCAAGTCATAATATTAAATAACCATGGGATGATATTATAACTGAGAGAATAGACAGTTTTGATGCTAAGGGAACTGGAGTGGAAAGAGAATGGGGCATTTCTTGCTAAAAATGCTATAAAATATCTATGAAAATTACTTGGTCCAGCTAATTCAAAGGTGAAATATAGCCCAAAATTCCTGTAAAAATTGGATTGAAACAGGGATGTGTTTTATAGCCTCTATTATTTAATTTATTATAAAAAAGTTAAAACATCTTGCTCGGAACGGTTGACCATTCGGAATCTAAATATTCTTGCGTTTGCCGACGATCTTTATCTGATGGGAGAATCAATATCTGAACTTCAATTCCTCATATATAGTATTATCGTAGAAGCTTGCTTCTTAGGTTTAAAAAAAATATAAATAAAACTGAGATGATGACCTCATAATTCATCACACATGAACCTAACGATACAAGGGAAGGCGATGGCGGAAATGCAACATCTAAAATATCTAGGAGTAAAACTAAATAGAAAAGGAAAGACCAAACAAGATTTAATGGTTAAATTAAACATATCTAAAGCCAATTATAGGTCCTTTATGATAATATGGTCATCAAAACAAATATCGATTCCGTTAAAGATCCGACTTTTTAAAATTCTAATACTCGCTTCTTTACATTATGGTATCGAAACATAAAACGATACAAAATTGTATAATAAAAAAAGGTGCAAACATACATTAACAAATGTCTCAGTATTACCAGTACTAGAACCTTCATCCCTGAAAATACAACAAACTATGTTCTATGGGTTAGATTCGACACACTCCCACCATATAGAATGATAAAATACAGGAAAATCGATCTAGTAGTACATATTCTCAACCTAATATATCTAGCACTCGTTAAAATATATCCGGAGGAGTCCAAATCATTCCTAACTACTCTATTGATCGTTAGTTTTCTAATAAATGATATTTATTTTTCTAAATGAATATTGACTGCTGAAAAGAAATTTTTAAGAAAAGATATCTGATACTCTAATCACGGTTATAAATATTATCTAGTTCTAAATTAACTATATCTTACCGATATAATATTGTATTTTATGATAATATTATTTAATTTTCATCCGTAATGCAAGATTTAAATTCATAATTAGGATAGAGACTTTATAGTCCCTAATAAAGTAGATAAAGAGAATTTGATTAGTTTAGAAACAAACTATGAGAAGCAAATGAAACTTTATAAATAATTTTTTCCGATTACAATGTGAAATTTATATGTAACGTAGGATAACCTATTACGACATTACATATCTTTTACTGATCACATAATATTTTACTAAATATTTAAAAAAATACTTACAATAATACCTAAACCGGAATTCAACTAATTAAATAATAGCTATTATATATTTAAAAGAATAGTATCTTTTTTTCCCTTTCTTACCATTTTTCTCCTTCACACTCATAACTATAACTCACTCTAATAGCTGATATTTTATGTACCCCTAGCCCCAAAGAGTTTCATTTTTTTCGTGCAAACTAATTTGTGACCACATATATAAATTTGTTTACGTTGTTTAGATTTATAATTTTAGAAGAAAAAAAAGTATATCATATAAACAATCAATTTATTCTCCCACGAGCAATCCAATGAAAATGCACCCTGGCTAGGAGAAAAATCAAACAAAATCCTCATTCAACATTATTTTTTAAAATCATCTAAACTTAATATTTTATCATAGAGTAAGTGGATACATGGATTAGAGTTCAG